TGCACACCTGGCTGTGTCTACACTGGCGCGATCTCGCACCAAAGCGGCCGCTCTTGTGCAAAAACGTGCCGCCGGTCTACACTGGCCGTGTGTTCTTGCACAAGTACACTGACGTGCTAATGTATGAAATCAGGGCTGCTTGCACGAGAGCTCTGACGCTCCCGCTCAGGAAGAAGCCCTCTTGCACAAGAGCTCTTCCAGAAGAGGCCAGTGTAGACAGGCAACATGAATTTCTTGGCCAAGAAGCCCCTGTGGTTAAAATGGCTGCCGGAGCTTTCTTGCACAAGAGAGCGTCTACACTGGCAAGGACGCTCTTGCACAAAAGCACATGCCAGTGCAGACGCTCTCTTCTGGAAGAGTTTTTGCACAAGAACTCTTCCACAAAAGAGTTTTTGCGTGAGAACACGCCAGTGTAGATGTAGCCATTGTGTAAAAAGCGGGCAGAAGTAGAACAGGTATCCTAGAGCACAGCTGTGACTTGCAGGAGCCTCTGCTGATCTAATGTCAGGTTCCTCTACCACACAAATATCTTTCTTTCATCTCTCCTGCCCCTGGAAAAACACAGACTGCTTCTTCCCAGCAGAGAAACAAGAAAGCTCACTGTTGTCATTTTACTTAGGGAGGGTGCTCAGACACTATGGTGACAGGCCTAGGTAGCTTTGTGTGGTGATGAATACAAATATATTAATCTTTGGAATGAGCAATTTGAGGTCCTCATGTGCCAATAAAGAGTGCTGTAGTAGACCAAATATTCAATTTCTTTAATACTTTCATTAAAAAATACATTCTCCCCTGCTTCATGTTTGGCAGCCAGAAGGCTGACCCACCTTCAGTGATTGCTTCCCTGGTTTCATCTGGCAGCTCTTGTAACTCAAACACTCAAGGCACGGACAATACAGGGTATGTCTTCACTACCCATTAGAGTGACAGCCAGTGATCGATCCAGCGGAGGGTTAATTTATTGTGTCTAGTCTAGATGCGATAAATAGACTGATGAGCGCTCTCCTGTTGACTCTGGAACTCCACTAAAACAAGAAGAGCAGATGGAGTTGGGACAGCATCAGTTGTCAACTTACCACTGTGAAGATACAGTGGTAAGCAGACCTAAATACATCAACTTCACCTACGTTATTCACACAGCTGAAGTTCCATAACAGCGGTGGATGACCCACGGTAATATACACAAGACCTGAGACTGCAGGAAATGGTGGAACTCTACCCCTTGCCATGTAAGGACAATGCATCACCCACTTCTTGGGTTCTTCCTTTAGCAGCATAGGAAGGCACATGGCCGCCTAGAACTTCATGGTTGCTATTATGCTGAACACTATGTTCACGCCAGGATAGAATCATAGAATCAGAACTGGAAGGAACCTTGAGAGGTCATTGAGTCCAGCCCCCTGCCCTCACGGCAGGACCAAATACCATCTAGATCATCTCTGATAGATGTCTATCCAATCTGCTCTTAAATATCTCCAGAGATGGAGATTCCACAACCTCCCTGGGCAATTTAGTCCAGTGTTTAACCACCCTGACAGGTAGGAAGCTTTTCCTAATGTCCAACCTAAACCTCCCTCGCTGCAATTTCAGCCCATTGCTTCTTGTCTGTCCTCAGAGGTTAAGAGAATACCCAGGTGACAAAATTTGCAGATGATACGAAACTGCTCAAGATAGTTACGAATGGCCATACTAGGTCAGAGCACAGGCCTTATTCTATAGGGATAGAGAATAAAATAAAGATAAAAAAAGATCTCACAAAACTAAGTGACTGGGCAACAAAATGGCCAATGAAATGTAATGTTGATAAATGTAAGTAATGCCCATTGGAAAAAATGATCCCAACTCTACGTACAACATGAGGGGGACTAATTTAGCTACAACTACTCAAGAGATCTTAGGAGTCATTGTGGATAGTTCTCTGAAAACCTCCACTCAGTGTGCAGCGGCAGTCAAAAAAGCAAATAGAATGCTAGGAATCATTACAGAAGGGATAGAGAATAAAACAGAATAACTTATTGCCTCTATATAAATCCATGGTATGCCCACATCTTGAATGCTGCGTACAGATGTGGTCACCTCGTCTCAAAAAAGATATACTGGCATTGGAAATGCTTCAAAAAGGGCAACAAAATGATTAGGGGTTTGGAATGGGTGCCATATGGAGAGAGATTAAAAAGACTGGAACTTTTCATCTTGGAAAAGAGAAGACTAAGGGGAATATGATAGAGGTCTATGAAATCATGACCGGTATGGAAAAAGCGAGTAAGGAAAAGTTATTTTCTTGTTCCCATAACATAAGAACTAGGGGTCACCAAATGAAATGAATAGGTAGCAGGTTTAAAACAAACAAAAGGAAGGTTTTCTTCACACAGTGCACGATCAACCTGTGGAACTCCTTGTCGGAGGATATTGTGAAGACCGGGTCTTTAACAGGGTTCAAAAAAGAGCTAGATAAATTAATGGAAGATATGTCCATCAATGGCTATTAGCCAGGATGGTAGGAATGGTGTCCCTAGCCTCTGTTTGTCTGGAGGTGGGTGACAGGGGAAGGATCATGTGAGGATTCCCTGTTGTGTTCACTCCCTCTGGGGCACCTGGCGCTGGCCATTGTGGGCAGACAGGACACTGGGCTGGAGGGACCTTTGGTCTGACCCCGTCTGGCCGTTCTTATGTTCTTACCGTCTGGGGACTTCTCTTCACTTCGCAGTGGATTGATGCTGCAGTAATTGATCCACCAGCTCTCGATTTGTATTGCATCTGGTTGGGCGCAATAAATCGAGCTGCAAGTGCTCTCCCATCGATGCCGGTACTTCACCCGGATGAGAAGAGTAGCCACAGTCAACAGGAAAGGAGCCCCCACCGACATTACCATGTGCAAAATGCCACAGTATCTCTTCTTTGCCCGTGAGAGGTGCTGACTGGCGAAGATCAGTTGCTGCCCTGAGAGCTGTACACCAAGCAGTGACTGTATCTATGAGGGTGCAGTGACACCCGGGGCAGCTAGTGACGAGATTTAGAGTTTTGTTCCTAGGTGGACAGGTTCAATAAAGTTGTTAAATTCAAAGGTTCAATAAAGTTGTTACATTCCAATGGGCTGAAGGCGACTAGCTGTTAGCACGCTGCTAGAAGTGACCAGTAATTTAATGCTGGACCTCATTTTGACGGCTCACCGAGCAGATGGCCTCGCCAACAGCTCAGCCCCCTTTAACGCCGGGCTGGGGTTCAGTTTGATGCTGACCGCCAAGGAACAGCACCA